CGTGCTTGAGGGAGGCCGGGCCTGATGGCAGCAAGAACCGAGGCACCAGGCCTGCGAATTTCTCGGCAGTGAGCTTTGGAAGGGACGCTTCGAATTTTGCAAGGCTCCCATCCACACACGAGGCTTATACTAGGGGATCGCAGCAGGGGGATCCCAAGAGCCTTCTCTTCTGGGTGTCTGGCCCAAGAATCCACCCCCGAGTCATCATCCTACCCCTCATTTGTCCCCTTTCTCCGGCAATGACGTAACCCTTTCTCCCTACCGGCTCAAGGTCAGCCCTGGCAAGGGAGAAGGGACGTAGGAAACGTCCGATGATCAGCATTTTGCTCCAAGGATTTTTTTTTCTCTCTCTCTTAGGAAAAATGTTTTCCCATCTCATATATAATTGCTAATAAAGAGGGACACACCTTTAGCCAAAGGAAAAGGGAAAATGGCGTCTGGTAGTCAAGGCAGCCGGAGCCCAGGAACCTACAGGATCTGAGCCGGAGCTCAGATGCCATCCCGGCCGAGGGCGACTGCAGCTCGTTGGGGCTGCAGCCTCCGACAAGGCCGAGCCGCCCAAGGGTGGCTGGTGCCTGGGAGGGCAGGGCCAACTCCTGGGCTCTGTCCGGGGCTCCTAAGGTGGCAGGGAAACCCTCAATTTCAGCCACCTCGTCCCTTGCCACACACCTCCCACCTCGGCATCCGCCCACCCGTCATCCACGATCACACCCACCCACGGGCTTGCTCCGGGGAGCCGGGCTGGCTCACGAGGCTTCCCGCCGGAGACGGAGCGCCTTCTCCCCCTCCAGTCTTCTCAACTCCCTGGAACACTCCATCGCCCTGTCTCCCCCGCCGAGCACCTCGGCTCTCTGCCGTCCTCCCCACGAGTGAGGGTCAGGGAGCGTCACCCCCACACCGCCCCAGAGCCAGGCGCACGTCCGCGTCCCACAAGCACACTCACGCAGCACAAACAGGCAGGCAGCCCCCCGCTCCAACTGCACGCACCATGTTGACAATCCAGGTTGTCCAATTGGAGGCACACGGGGCATCACCCCTCCAGCGCCGCCCACCCCCACCCCAGCCGCGAGGCCACACAAAGGCCACCCAGAAATTTAAGACCAGACATCATCGGGGAGAGTGAGAGCTGGGTAGGACAAAGACATCACTCCAGCCTCTCAACGAACCACGACAACCCTGGGAGATTCTGCAGTGCCCTCTGGCTTGACACAGCCCACCGAGCAGAGCTGTGTGTTGGGGTGTGTGTGTGGGAGCATGCACATGTGTGTGTGGAGATGGGGGGGGGGTGCATCTGTGTCTCTATTGTCCAGCATCAAATCTCCCCAGAGGTAACCCAGTCCAGACTCTGCTTTCCCCGGGTAACCTTCCTCTAGTGTGCCGCAAACATATATTACACGGATGGTTAAATTGGATCATTATCACCGGGTGCTTATTTGGCAAAAGGGGAAAAAAAAAAAAAACCATTAATGTCATCTACCCCCATTCCAATCCTCCTCCTATGAAATCCCCTCCCCCAAAGACTCTCCAACATGCTAATCCCATGAACTGCGACACACCACAGTTTTGGGGAAAGCAGGATGGCGAGAAGAAAGCAGAGGGCGGTGTGGGGAGAAGACGGGGGTACCGCGGCTGCGTTTCCCGCATGAAGACGGGTGGAGAGGAGGGGGCCATGGCGGAGGTAGGGGTGGGGAGAGCTGGAAAACCAAACGGAACCAAGCCCTCGATCGCCTGAGACTGTGGGAGAGTGTGTGTGTGTGTGTGTGTGTGTGCAAGAGCGTGTGCAAGTGTGTGTGTAGATGTGCCGACTTGGCGCTCCTATCAGAAGGCTGCATCCGTGTGGCATGTAGGAAAGGCCATCGCACCACTGTTGTGTTGCAAAAAAAAAAGAAAAGAAAAGAGCCGCAGAGCCATCAGAATCAGAATTTTCTCATCCAGGCAGAAAGGACTCCAGGAAAGGGGGGAGGGGGTACATAGGGGTAGGGGAGAGCGGGTGTGTGCAAATGGAAGCAAGAGAATGGCAGACCTGGGGGAGCATGGAGGGGGACATTGGTGGTAGGGTGGAAAAAATTGCACGCACACAGAGATACACACAGACACACACACACACAATGCCCAAACGCCAACCCCACCGCTCCACTGTGCATCCGAGACTGACGACCCGTCCCCCATCCCTCCGCTGCCTCTCTGCGCCCCCAAAGCTGATGCCGATGGGTTTCCGTATCTCAGTTTTGCAGCAGTGGGCTAATTACAACCAAGCCCCCTCACCAAATTAACCCCTCCCCTCCTTCTCCTTTTTTCTCTAAAAGGCCAATTGAAGAATAATGTGTTTTTAGAGATAATGGATTTTTTTTTCCCCCCAAGGAGCGAGAGAAAGGGGGATACAGGACAGAAATTCTGCCAACCGGTGACTTCCGAGCTCACCTCTGTCTCTCCTCATGTTCCCATTTGCTGTAGCATCTCATCTACCATTTTCCAACCATCCCCTTATCCCCCACCACCCAAAAGAAAAGACCTTCCTACCATGCACATCGACAAATACATCAACCGCCACCCAATCTCAGTAGCCGATCTCAAAACCCCAAGCCTCAAACCACCTCGATACATCCTTTCCCTTATATAAGCAGCAAATCATCAACATATTCAGTGGAAACGCAGCATTAAAATCAACGGGAAAAGGAGGCCAGCCCTCCGTCAACCCCCTAATAATGAATAACAGGGAGCTACCAGAGAAGCAAAGACGTAGTTGTCTCTCAAAATCCAGAATCCCTTTGATTTCTGGCCCCCCTCATCTTAAGCAATTTTGGAAAATTATTTCACTAGAAAGGGCTGGAAAACTCCAGAAAAGGGCATTCGCACAGTCCAGTTGTTTTGTTTTGTTTTGTTTTTTTAAATTAACCCAGCCCTGTTGCTCACTTTAATAGCGAACTTCCAGCGTCCAGCCTTTTTCCCCTCTTCCAGAAGGAAGACTGACTCGCCAGATGATCCCCAGACTGCAGAAAATGGGCCAAGAGCCCTTACTCTCCACTCCCCAACCAAGAAAAAAAAAAAAATCAAACAATAGGAATGTCTCTGCACAACCAGCACCCATCTGAAATATCGTTCGCCCCAATATGACTTAGGCAGATTAAGCCAGAAGATTAAAAAAAAAAGAAAGAAAGAAAAGCCAGCCTTGCTATGTCTCTCCCTCTCTCCCCTCCATCCTTCAGCCACGTACCCAGTAGCCCTTAGGTAAACTTGCCCATCATAACCAGCAGGACCATTTTAACTTGAAAGGCGACGCAGAAGCCCTTGGACGATGAAGGGAGGCTCTACCCAGAACAGCAAATTCATAAAGGGCTAGTTCTTCGGGCTCCCCAGACCTAACCTCCAGGTGCCCCCAGATAGACTATCCTGGGTACTAAGTCACCCAGCGCACTGGGAGTTCAAATTTCCATTGGAACCTTCATCACAAAGGCAAACGGTCATCTGACCCCCAAAACTACACAGTCCCCCAGGTGTGACAAGGAGCATCGCTCTCCCTCCAGGGCCATCCACAGGACCCAGGGCAAAGAAGAATTAAGAATGTTAGGGTGGATCGTGGGGGTAAAAGAAAACTATCTCCCCAAGCGGGAATGACCGGAGCAAGACGGAAAATGACAGTTCCCCTTTGCCCAGTTCTCCTAGTTGGTCCGAATCTGTCTTGCTCCATCCTAGCCTAGCACTCTCTGGGTGATCTCTGACCTTTGTATTTAAAGAAAAAAAAAATTTTTTTAAATAATGACAAGGGAAGAGGAATCCTACTTTACCTAAACCCCAGTAATGGTTATCAAAAATATAATTTTTGCACTGCATGACAATATTTCTACATCCAAATCCAAAGAAGAATGCATTTAATGGAGGAAGGGAAAAATTTATTTTTTTTTAACAAGTAATCACAGGGTAAGTCACCTGCAAAGCAGGCGAGCCCATAGGCTGGTATTACATCACTGGCCTAGGAAGGGATAGGGGGTTGGGGGGGAGCAGATTTTTTTTCCCTTGTCATCAGGATGATGTTTCTAGAGCAGCTAAGTTTTGTGGTTAAAAAAAGAGAGAGAGGGAAAGACCTAAAACTCTGGGTACAACACAATGCCTAGTAAAAAATACATCGAACCAGCCTTTAAGGTCACTGAGAGCTTGCAAAACCCACAGTGCTTACACAGAGTGGAAGTTTTCAGGCAAGCCTGCTACTAAATCATTAATATAAACAAATGGAAGGCAGAGGAGGAAGATTCCCTTGTAACTGATCCAAACAGTAGTGCGCACACACACACACACACACACACACACACACTCTCCCTATTTCACCTTCTGTGAGTATGCCCACCTCCACAACAAAATAACAGGACTCCAGCCTGAATCTTCATACTCAGGATCTACCTCCTCACACCCCTTCCAAAAAATATCACACACACACACACACACACACACACACACACACACACACCACACACACACACACACACCCTTCAATTCCTCAACAGCTAGGGAAATCCCTGTCTCAATTCAATTTTGTCTTCTTGTGATCCTCAGAGCTTCCCTTCTTCTCTTTCTCATTTGATCTAGCCCCTTCCCCAGAAAATAGTAATAATAATAATATTGGGGGGTGGTCATAAAATGCAAGAAAAAAAAAAAGTACCTGCCCAAAATGAAGTGATAGGTACACATCATTTCAGACTAACAATCCACGCAAATAGAAGAAAGACTTTTCAAAAGATTAAAAATCTAAAACATTCTCTGACTTTTTCAACATCTGGAGCCAAAAGACCCAACTTCCAGGAGAAACTGAAGGAAAAGAAAGGCAGTTGAAAAGCCATTCCCTTGGTCAGCCAAGGCTCTCCGATCCAGCCTTCAAAAAAAAAATCTAGGTTGGTCGCTCCCAACTGAAAACTTCTACCCTCTCAGGAGCAACCTCTTCCCAGAACGAACAAGAAGCTTGAGTTGTTTCACACCCTGCCTGCCTTCCTCGCCCCCCAAGATCTTACCTTTCCCGTTGGACAGAAGATTTGGGGTCTGTCTGTCTGTCTGTCTGATGTTTAATCAACTGAGTTTGCTGGGTATGTTTCCTCTTTGGGGAGGCTCAAATTCCGGAATCTTTCTGTCTCCTTTTCTCTTTCTCTCTCTCTCTGGGAGGGAGTGGTGGGGAAGAAGGGAGGGGGTGTTGGAGGTGCAAAAAGCAGGTCCTTGGTGGCTGAAGGTGCCGGCGGCTGCGAGAGGGGAGGACACGCTCGCCTCTCCCTCTCAGTGAGTTGCATGCAAGCGGAGATGTGTAGGGCTGCGCTCTGAGCCTGAGACTGCCGGAGGAGCCCAGGAATTTCACGCACTCCAGAGCAGGCCCCTCCCTCTCCCACACAGACCCCGGCATTTAAAGAGACAGGCGGGCTGCCGGGTTCAGGGCTCCACCGCCTCCTCCCTGACTGTTTTGCAAACAGCTGAGAAGATCTCATCAGGGAGGGGCACTCTGTAGCCCCCTGAGACGGGGAGGCCGTGTCAGGAGCTCATGTCTCTGCTCATCCCAGCCTAGGAAGACTCTTCACTGGAACTGGAGCGGAAATTGAAGACAAAAATCCCCAACTATGGCTTAGTCCCCATTTACAGCTTCAGCAGACTGAGCCACTTCCTCACTGCTGAAGATGCATGTGTGTCTCACTGCAGACTGATGACCCTGGCCCACCAGTGTGCCTCAGTTTCCCCCAAGCAGTCGCTCTTCCTTGCAAAATCACGGCAACCTCGTGCATCTGATGGGGGTTAGGGCTATAACTAGGACACCAAGCCATTCCTCCTGCAAGCCTTCTGAATGCTTGCTTAGGATGAGGCATAGAGCGAGGGGCAGAGAACAGAGAAAGGAAGGGGACCAGTGGGGCTTCCCCCCTCTTCAAGGGCTCCTGCTGGCAAGACAGACAGAGGCACAGCCCACCCTGTCCTCAGGGGCAGCAAGCTAAGAGAGATAGGGGCAGGAGGAGTCAGGCTCGGTGGTGGGTCAGGAGGGTGGCTCCCTCTTGCATCCTGAACTCAGAGCCGAGACATTTCCACAGCACCCCCACACCCTTCAGTACCCATCACCAGTCTTCCCAAACTAGGCTGTGTCTGTGGCAACATTTCCCCAGTCAAGCCTAAAGGAGAGATGATGGTTGGTAGCCCCAGACGCAAGGTTTTGTTCATCATCAGGCCCTGGTACCCGGAAAGGGGGTAATAGCTGCCCCCCTCTTCTCCAGCCTCCCCTTTCTAAAGGCTGCATAGCGTGTGGTCCTCCAGGCCAGCACCAACAGTGGGAAGAGATGCTAGCGCTGTTGAACACTCACCACGTGCCAATACATGGGTCATCTCATTGAGTCCAGGGAGGTTGGCACCCGTTGACTGTTGAGGTCCATCTTACAGTTGAGGAAATCAAAGATTTAGAGAGGGTCCCCTATGGTCACCAAGCAGGACATAACCAATATGAAGGTGTACAGACTCCAGAGCCTGCCTGCTCACCCTCACTTTACACTGCCTCCCTTCCACGGAGGGTGGTAGTTCTTATACTTCTGCCCTTTCCTGAGCATCCTTTATCCCAGCAAACTTGCTAGCACATGTGCTGAGCATTGTTCTCACAGGAAACCAAACAAGTAGGTCAAGTCTCCTGCCCCAAGGAGTCTTCTATGCTTTGATGGAAGACAGAGGTGCATTCTTATAAAGAAGGGGAAAAGAGCAATCATGAAAGCAAGGTAAGGTGGGCCCTATGGGATTGTCAAGAAGCAAATGATAAAATTGCTTTGGAGATGGGGATTATCGAGGCAAGCTTGATAGACTAAAGTGGCCTTTGGGCTGGGCTTAAATGGACACATGCAATACCAGCATTATCGGTCTGCATTTCCGTCTGTTTTACCTTTTAGATAATAACCTCATTGGTTATGTTTCTTTGGGTCCCCAATCTTCAATACCTCCATGGAACCCAGCATTTAATAGGAACATAAACGTGTCTTAACTGATTAAGTTCATGCACGACACCTCACCTTTCACCAGTTTATGCTAGCCCTGAACTGCCCTCTCTCTGATCTACTCCCCCTCACCTGAACTTTCTTGAAGTCTGCACCTTATTAGTTTCCAGAATATGGAAGGGAATTTCTGAGGGCACAGTGCATGGGATTGGGCACTGTCTAGAGCTCCTGGGGGAAGAACAGTGTGAAGGGACCACCATGATCCAGCAGGACCCTGGAAATAGCCAGGCCAGTTGCAGACCCACCTCTGGGAACAGCAGGAAGAGGTCCAAGGGGCCCAGGGAGTATGAGGATAGGAGCCCAGAGGCAGACCGGAGAACTCCGTGCCCAGCAGAGACCAGCTCCACGGGGCACCACCTGCCAACACCAGCTCAGGAAGGACATTCCCTCACGAAGTCCACTGCGCATCCACAGGACAACCAGCGTGAGAACACACACCTGGACTCCAGTCCCAACTTGACCATCTAACTTTCTTGTGATATGAATTTTTTTTTTCCTCTGCTCTCCTAAGTCTCAGGGTCTTCACCTGCAAAACAGAAATGATGCCTATACTTACTTCATAGGATTGTTTCAAGAATTAAGTGACAGAACACACACAGAACACCTGTCCCAGAGAAATTCTGAGCAAGGGTCTGCTTGGCCCAAGGGTCTGCCTTCACCCCTGTGTGGAATTATTAACTTTGGACTGCCCCCTATAGTTAGCATTCTCTTATTTCATCATTTCATGCTTAATACTTTAGCTTCTGGGATGTCATAGGTACTATCATTTACTAGTTTTTAGCCCTTTTGCTTTTCCCCTACTTTACCCCGTGTACCTTGAATATACTTGTTATCATCACTTTATTCCATTTAGTAGTTTCTTGGGCTTCTCGAGTGTTATTTATCTTTCAATTACTCTGGTGTATCGTTTTAGTCTGCCTTTTATTATGAAATCTTTAGGCTCATTTTATCCCATCCCTCTAAAGCATTGTAGCTAACTACCACTCTGCTCATTCTCAGGGATCCAGCAACCCCTGAGATAGGTCCAGATTTCTGAGGATGGATACATATGAAAGAGCAGAGAACGACAGCAATACAGACAATAAGACATGTAATGCAACCACAGGCAAAAAGCAATATCATGTGTTTGCCCACATGATGGTGCCACGGCAGCAATGGTACTGATTTTTTTTTTAACTTTTNAAATCTTTAGGCTCATTTTATCCCATCCCTCTAAAGCATTGTAGCTAACTACCACTCTGCTCATTCTCAGGGATCCAGCAACCCCTGAGATAGGTCCAGATTTCTGAGGATGGATACATATGAAAGAGCAGAGAACGACAACAATACAGACAATAAGACATGTAATGCAACCACAGGCAAAAAGCAATATCATGTGTTTGCCCACATGATGGTGCCACGGCAGCAATGGTACTGATTTTTTTTTTAACTTTTTACTTTTATTTGGCTGCAGGAGACTTAGTTGTGGCATGAAGTATCTTTAGTTGCAGCATGTAGGATCTAGTTCCCTGACTAGGATTTGAACCCAGGTTCCCTGCATCGCCCCTCATGTGGCTGTGGGGCTGCCGCCTTCACTCCCAGTTTGGGAGGGGAAACAAAATGGACAGGAACTCTTCCAGTTTTTCTCAAATGTGCCAGACTAACACTTTCAGGATGGAACAAAGAAGAATTTTATCACCAATCAAAAGGATAAATTGCNCGCCCCTCATGTGGCTGTGGGGCTGCCGCCTTCACTCCCAGTTTGGGAGGGGAAACAAAATGGACAGGAACTCTTCCAGTTTTTCTCAAATGTGCCAGACTAACACTTTCAGGATGGAACAAAGAAGAATTTTATCACCAATCAAAAGGATAAATTGCCCATGACATTCTGGGGGGAAAAAATCAAGTTGGTAGAATGATGATAATGAAAATACGGTAACAGTTACCACCACCACCACGTGTCTGGCCCTCTGCGTGGTTCTGCAATGAGCCAACACCAAGGCTCTGTAAAGAGCATGTCTGGGCTGAAGTCCCAGCTGCAGCACTGGCTGACCACGACACCTTGGCTGGGTTAGTAACAGTTCAACCCTCAGCTTTCTCCCCTGTGAGATGGGAATAACCATGATGCCATCCTCAAACATTTCCTGTGACAATTATATCAAAAGCACCTGCACTACTAAATGGCACTTGGAAGGTCCACAGTGGACTATGTGTTATCACCATCAGAGTGAGATTTAAAATACTCAATGTCTGAGATGGCATGGCAGCAGCCAGTCACCTCAGAGGCCGGCCAGGAGCAACTGATTTGATCCTAACAGGACATACCAGCTATCCTGGTATTAGCATTATTTCCACCCCACCGGGTACTAAGGTGAGCATTGGGCATGCATTATCTCATTTAATTTTCACAGCAAGTTGGCTTTATTATGTTATCTATTGAAATACATGCAATTGCATATTTACAAATAAGACTGTGCCTATAAAATCAGATGCGTTGTGCAGCGCAGACAGTAACACATCATCTCCAAGAAGAGAACTCATACAGAAGGAGGTGAACCTGCAGCCCAGCAAGAAGACACAGGGCCAGCACAGAGGCCGGTGGGGTCAAGAGGAACACTCCCCAAAACTGAAAGCCGAGCACCTAAGGCGGAGAACTGCTTGTCATGGGATGGAGGGAGAACATGTGAATGTGAGGTTCACAGGCGTGAGGACACAAGCCCAAAGGGGAGCCTGAGCATTCAGGCCTGAGGGGGGTCAGTTTCTGTGGAATGTTCCTGACTCCAGGCATCCATTCCACCGGGGTATCAGCCACTGCCACCCCCACGAGCCCAGCCCAAACAAGGCTGCCGGAAAAGCCAGCTCCCAGAAGAGCAAAAAGTCTCTAACTTCCACCTCCAGCCTACTCTCATTTTCTTTTCTGGCTTACTCCATGGAAATAAAATATTCTCAGGTGCTTGCAGCAGTGGAAGCCTCTCAGCCATTTCCTGGAATTCAGCAGCCCACCGCTGGCTGAGAGGAACCCACCCTCAGGACAGGGCTGCCCCAGCTCCAGCCTGGGGAGATCCTGGCTGGGATGAGGAATGCACACCTGGGCTTTATTCCTCTTTCCCCTGAGCACCCCGGAGCAAGCCACCTGGCTAGACCCATGACAACAGAACATCTCACCAAAAAACTTTACAAGGAAAAAACTTGGAGGGAACTTTTTTCTTCCCCCCTTGTTCTTTTTCGGGGCGTTTTTGAATTTTCTTGTTGGGGGTTCCCATTTTACCTTGTTTTGGTTTTTTTTGGGTTTTTTATTGGTTTTAAAGTTTTGGTTGTT